AAGAAAGTAGGTATATTTCTTCATTCTGTAAGAAATTAGTTTACAGTACTATTTTCGAGCATCCAGGCTTTAATTTAGAACTCTTTTTGAGCGCAGATGTATATTAAAAAGGAAAATATGAACTGCAAAACTTTCATGTATTTCGTACGCAAAGTGAAAGGTAAACAAACAATAAAGTAGTACAAATATATCGTACATAAAACTTAAAATAGTGAAGATTTTTCAGTCTAAAGAGTCCTATATTCTTGCAAAATCAGTATTACCGATTTGTTGATATCATTGTTGACAAATAGAGCCGTAGCTCTAGCCTAGCTATTGTTTTACACAATAAAAAGACTCGTTCTGTTGTTTACAACTAAAACCAAATTTTAAGGAGCTTTAGCAAGAGTACGACTACGACAACCATTGAGTTCTATGAGACCTGGAGGGGAAACGTCAACAAAATTACTACAAATAATTGACGCGCGGCCGCGTGGTCAAAAACATGGCGGATTTTGATGGTCAAAGTCAGCGGAGAGACGCGGGCTCATGAAATAAATATTTTGTCGCCCACCCTGATTTGACCACCACGATTGGGAGTATAGAAAATATCAAAACTATTTTCATAACATAAACACTTTTTAAAATTATATTTATTAAATAATCTGCAAGCTTCCGTGGTTTGCGGATCATGAAATAGCGACAGAAAAGGTAACATTTCATGACTCCTGTACATAGCATAGTAGTAGTTTTACTATTTTGTTTTTAACACGATACTTTAAAAAGTGTTTCTACTACTAAGTTTTAATTTAAAGTTATTTTGTTCCAGTCTTGTTTGTTCTTCACTTTATCGCTCGCCAGACGTGGCGAAGCTGCCAATTTGTATCGAATTTTGCATTATTTTGTATCATGATCAAGCTAAACTCTCCTGATTTGAATTGAGTTTACCTCCCAAAAATGGGGCAGAATTTGTTCATATTTATTTTTTAAAGACGAAGGGAAAGTTTACAACAGAGCTGTGTTGAAAGTGAATGCAGTATAATAAAAATAACTATTAAACTACTTGCCTGCTCAATTTGACTGACTGTATAGAGTAGACAATTATAATGGGTTTGGAAAGTTGGATTTATGCAAACAGTTGGATTTATGCTAAGTACTACTTAGCGTTTCTGTAAGTGAAGTATTTATTGTTATAGTAAACAGGTTAATACTTCAAAACCAAGATAAAAGAAGTGTGTTGAACAATGTGCTAAGATTTGCTCCTATCTTGAAATTTTTGTTCAACAATAGCTTATGATTATATTATTAATATGCATGAAAAATTAAACATATTATTGTCTCATCTCACCAAATCCATATTTGGTATGATTCCAGGTGATCCACAAATTTACATCAGATGCATTGGTTATAATGAAGTTGAATGTAGAGGAAGCAAAAATAGATAGCAAAGAAATTCTTTGTGTCTTATGAAGAATTAGTACAAATCAATAAAAAGAATTCTTTAAACAAATAGTTATCAAATTTAAATTGCTCATGGTCAAGCAACCTAGTGAAAAAAGCAAAGTCTGTCTTCAACATGTGACCTTTCCAATTATGTTAAGTTTCTTTGTACAAAATAATTTTTTCAAGAAACTTGATTTGTAAGTCTTTCATTAATATGTTTTTACCAAGAGATAAAAGAAACAAATTCAAAGGCTTGCTGGAAAATACAAAGATTTATCAAGTTGCTTATCATTTAATTCCCAATTGTTAGTTTATACATATAAATAATTAGTATTGGTAGCTGTAAGTTGTTCAAGCAAAACAGAAGAGTAGTAGTGCTTGAAGGAGTTAGCATTTTCGAAAAATTATATCTTATTCTTGACATACATTACACAATTCCAAAAGACTGTAAGTAATACACAATAATATCTATAAAACTTGATAAATTTCTTCGCCTACCTTGTCAATTAGCTATTTTGCCTTCATGCAGCAATAGACAGAGGGTTTTTGTCAGAGAAACCAATGCACTTTAGTTTCCAAGTTTGTAATTTCAATGGAAAATTAATGTAGTTCTGTTCAGAATGATAAATCGAAAAATCGTCTTTAAAACACGTTTTCCATCAAATACAATAGTAAAAAACAATTCTTAACTGTTTATTACTATTTTACTGTCCTTAACCATCACAAAAAATGTTGAAAAGTCAAGAAATTGAAGAAAACACTAAAATTTTATTACAGTGTACTTTCCATTTCTCTTAATTAGCCTATAATTTAAAACCTAAACAGTAGAATTTTTTTAAACTTGGCCAGAATATAGATAATTATATTGTCTAAAATATATCCAAAATCTGGAGGTGGCACAAAAAAATAAGTTGTAGAAAATCATCGACAAAGTCGGATGACACGGTTGCGCGTAAAAAAATCATATACAATTAACTTCCTATATCCATGCAATTTTTCAAACAAAGGCCTATAAATAAAAAACTACAGTGTAGAATTTTTTTAAACTTGGCCAGAATATAGATAATTATATTGTCTAAAATATAACCAAAATCTGGAGGTGGCACAAAAAAAAATTATAGAAAATCATCGACATAGTTAGATGACACGAATGCGCGTAATATGATCTTTTATAATTACGTTCAAAAATTCAAGTCATTGCTAAACAAAGGCCTGTAAATAAAAAACTACTCGGTAGAATTTTTTTAAACTTGGCCATATTGTAGATATTCTTATTGTCTATAACATATCCAAAATCTGGAGGTGGTACAAAAAAATAAAAGGAATAGTATTCCTTGAGAATGTACTCTGGTATTAACCGTGAAGTTGGCACCACATTCGAAAAGCAGCTCTATAGCTAAAAAACTACACCGTGGAATTTTTTTAAACTCAAGTATATTATAGAATTTTATATTGTCTAAAATATACCCAAAATTTGGCATAAACCACTCATTACCATTAAATTGTTACAAATCTTGAACACAAATCTCTCAGGACCAAAACTGCATGATTACTATGATTCGAAGTTTCGAACAAAGTCTTGTCCAACTATTTGATAACACTGATGCCAGGATAACATTGCCGCTTGCCACCAAGCTTAAAGATCTTGAAAACTTGTTACAGAGTCGGAACATAAGCCGAGAAAACACGTTCACGTACGAAAACTACATCTTACAATGGGTCACGATCAATTTGAAGAACGAACTAGTAAACCGCAAACGAAGCACAAACCATTGAAATTAAATCAGGTCTGCCGCAAATCATTAAAAAAACGCAAAGAGCTTGCTATTATTCCTAATATATTTGATACTACCAATGAATAAGCTTAAATTGCCTTCTTCTTTTGCATATAAACCCAATTTCCCTGCCATTGTGAACAAAACAACAAATGGTATAAAATGACACAAACGAACACAACAAAGCTTTTTTCAACTCATTGGCTTACCAGTAACAAAATGAAGGCTACACACTCGTAAATACGTGCATTTAGAATCGTCAATGTCTGCCCGACGAATTCTTTCAAGATACAAAGAACTACGTTCCTTGTGTAAATCTTGCAATATTTTGCTTGCATTGGTTTTCACAGCTGGCATGCAATAAAAACTTAATTCCTTATCCCTATCAGCACGCTTCGAACAGCAATAAATTGCGCAAAAGTTAACCATCCTTAACAATAATATCGCTTTGTTATTTACATGTCGCGTTTGCTTGTCCTCCAGATGTAACGTCACCGGCTTTTTGACGTCACATGCAATGGGTCTATAGTATTATTATAGTTTCACTTGGCAAGTAGGAACCAAAATGGCGGCTCTGCGTTCGCCTCAGACCGTTTGTCTCAACTCTTATACTAATAGAGGGCTCTGGTACTCGTAGGCTTTGCTAAAGCTCCCTTTTCACGAAGCGACAACAACAACAAACTTCCTCGTGCCATTCCCTTACACGGTCAAACTTCGTACTCGTTGTCGTAGTCGTACTCTTGCTAAAGCTCCCTAATAATGGACCGGCAAAAATGTTTATGAGCCAAACAAAGCGCGCCATTTTGCCGGAAGTGTTGGACTCGTGCAATTTTGATAGTCTTTGAAAAATCTCACTCGTTTATGTTTTTTCCAAATTGCACTCGAAACCATGCTATTAGCTGTGCAAATTTATCGTTTTCATAAAAAACTATACATAGCAGGATTGAAAAAGCGAGTCCTTTACTTCACGGATACTGTGCCAAAGGAAAAACATCCGACAAATTAAGAATTGCTAAATCATATGATAAACAATTAAAAATTCAGTTGACGATGCTAAAAGTAGAAGTACTTTCGAACATTGATTTTGAATTTTTTCAACAGATAAAGATATTGCTTCGAGAAAAAAACGCAGTGTACCAAACAGAGCTGTGTATGTGGAGTTACTCCTTTATGAGAAAGAAGGAGCGTTCACTAAAGTCGTGCTTGCTATCGCAGAGAAACCCAACTACAATTTGATCCCAGCGTTTGACGCCAGTATTCTTTTAAACAAAACCCCAGTTAAATGGTTTCTTGGTTTCAGTACTTCAACTAAGAGCAGTATTTCTCTTCAGTGGATCATTGTCATTAGTTTTGTTGCTTTGATTTGTACAATTTGCTTGATCTGGAAGTGGAGAAGACCACAGGTAGGTTTATTATTTGTACTTTTATAGTAAGCCCCCCTAACTTGGACTGGTAAAATTGTGCTCACATGATCCAAAATAAATTATATCTCCTTCAAGTGAGCGAAAAACACGCAATAATGATAGAGAGTTTATAATGAGTTATCTCTCCAGTTGATATTACTGTTTATTAAGCCATTATTAAGAGAGCTCGTAGTCTTTATGGAGAAATATCGGATGGAAGTTTTTTTTACAGACCAAGCCCGTAGGGCAAGTAAAGTAAAAAAATAAAAACATCCCACCATATGAAAATGCAAACTGACAAATCATTTTGCGTAAATAACCACATTATTATAATATGTTATTATCTTATTATAATATAACGAAACGTTAATTTTACTGAAAGAAACTCTTTTAAATTTAGCTACGTCATGGAGAAAACCTTCCTGAGAGAGAAAACATTCCTGAGAGAGAAAACCCTCATAAGGGAGAAAACCTTCCTGAGGGAGAAAACCCTCCTGAGGGAGAAAACCTTCCTGAGAGAGAAAACCCTCATAAGGGAGAAGACCTTCCTGAGGGAGAAAACCTTCCTGAGGGAGAAAACCTTCCTGAGGGAGAAAACCTTCCTGAGGGAGAAAACCCCTGAGGGAGAAAACCCTCATAAGGGAGAAAACCTTCCTGAGGGAGAAAACCCTCCTGAGGGAGAAAACCTGAGAGAGGAGGGAGAAAACCTCATGGGAGAAACCTCCTGAGGGAGAAAATCCTCCTGAGAGAGAAAACCTTCCTGAGGGAGAAAACCATAATGGAGAAAACCTCATGAGGGAGAAAACCTGAGGGAGAAAAGGAAGAGAAAACCTGGAGAGAAAAGGGGAGAAAACCTCCTGAGGGAGAAAACCTCCTGAGGGGAGGAGAAACCCTCCGGAGGGAGAAACCCTCATAAGGGAAAACCCTCCTGAGGGAGAAACCCTCATAAGGGAGAAAACCTTCCTGAGAGAAAACCTTCCTGAGGGAGAAAACCTTCCGGAGGGAGAAAACCCTCATAATGGAGAAAACCCTCCTGAGGGAGAAAACCCTCATAAGGGAGAAAACCTTCCTGAGGGAGAAAACCTTCCTGAGGGAGAAAACCTTCCTGAGGGAGAAAACCTTCCTGAGAGAAAACCTTCCTGAGGGAGAAAACCCTCCAGAGGGAGAAAACCCTCATAAGGGAGAAAACCTTCCTTTGGGAAAAACCCTCCTGAGGGAGAAAACCTTCCTGAGGGAAAAAACCCTTCTGAGGGAGAAAACCTTCCTGAGAGAGAAAACTCTGATGGTGATGTTGATAATGCTAAAGAAGTCGGAAATTCTCCTGATGTTGAAAATACAGAACAAGGTATGCCTTTCAATTCTAATTTATTTTATATATATTGCGTGACCTAAGCATATTTGTTTTGAATTGTATCACAATTCAAGTCATTTGATTGATATTTATGTGTTTTTATGAAGATTTATATTATTTAATAATATGCATGATGTACGTATACAGTGTTGCACTTTCGGACTCCAAACTTTCGTTTATTACGTATGTTCAATACTGTATCAATGACTTAAATTTTTCTTTTGCGAACGACAAATAATTTAAATGTACTGTGTACCAGACGGCAGTGCTCAGCACAATTTGACAAGTCTTTGTTTATCTCAATAAATACTGCGTAGCAGCAAAGTGGCGCAACTCTTTTTATAAAGTGCTCAAATTGACTACATTTCATAAGTTCCATTAAAGAAAAAGGATTATAATAAATAGACTAATACCTTTTAAAACAAATCTTGACATAATGTACACCATACAGATCAGACCCTGCATTTTAGAAGTGTTCAGGAAGTGTTAGACCATCTGTTTTAAAAGTGCTCGTGTTTGATTACATTAATTATTATTTTCTTTGTTAGAGTACAGGAGATTAGTCGGAGTATAACTTTATTTCCAGATAGAAATTATGTTTTTTGCTCCTGGCTTACAGCATCGAAAGTGTTGACACAATTGAAAAAAACATCACTAAGTAATTTTCTTCATATACAGTCTTCAGTCAACCTTTACATTAACAAATGTTATGAAATATATGAATTTTTTCATCACATGTCTAAGCAACATTGAATGGTAACATTTGCACCTGGTTTCATCTGTTTTAATCATGACAGTAAAATCTTGTCACTTCACAATTTGTACTTGAAGCACATTATAGTCAGTTTAAATTAAGATGAGACATGAGGTGATAATGACATCATGCAATCTATTTTTTTAAAGTAACGTTTATTTGTATTCTGCTTGTTTAATCATAAAAACCTCTCAACAAACTATCTTTTGGATATACTGTCATACTTCACGTTTGCACCACCATGCATACACTACCTAGCTAATGACATTGAAAATTATGCAAAGAAAGGCCACCATCAAATCCACTTGCTCAATATACTTCAATAGATAAGAATTCCTGTTCATTGTAAGTAAAATACCTCAAAATCACATGGAAAATAAGCCACCTTGAGGATGTGAATTCTCAAGGTTCCACAGTAAAAAGAAGGCTATTTGAAATTTTCATTATGACAAATGTAGCATTAAATTGCACATTTATTAAACGATCTTCTGAATTCTAAATTTACAGAAAATTACAAGATTTTTTGAGCTCTCTCTTTGCTAAGTATACTGGAGATTACCTCTTCAGTGTGAACATCATTCAAAAGTCCACAAAGATCATTTTCTAGCTTAGGATCAAATTTTTTAATACTTTTACTTAGAATTTCATTTTAAAACTTGCATAGAGCATAAAAGTTGCTGTATCAGTTTTCTACTAGAAAATTTCCCAAAATGGATAAACAAATAACGTTACTAATCGCAAAACATAAAAACAACGACTGTTTTATTGATTTCAAAAATGACTCCACTGATCTCAAAATAAATAAATATAATTATTTCGACTATATTAGAAGAGCAAGGGACTCCAAAAATCTCATTTATGATTCAAACTGTGTCTTAATTGATGATTGTCAACTGGCTTGATGACCTCCATTAAAAAGTGCACGTCAATCAGTTCAAGCCACTTACGACTTAAGCCACCCGATTGAGCAAGAGTAACACTACCGCTTGAATATCGCTTACAGAACTCAATGGCTGTATCATGTTTTCTTAGATATCGTAGCACTGACCACTGTATAGAGGGCCGAAACTATAACTTTTGGTGGGTTGGGGGAGGGGGTGCTTAATAACGCTGCTGATGAAATATCGCTTACGGAACTCAATAGATGTATCATGTTTTCTCAGATATTGTAGCACAGACCACTGTTTAGAGGGCCGAAACTGTAATTTATATTGGGGTGGGGAAGAGGTGTTTAATAACGCTGCTGCTAAAGTATCGCTTGCAGAATTTAATGGCTGTGACATGTTTTCTCAGATACAGTAGCATGGATTACTTTATAGAGGGCCGAAACTATAACTTTTAGTTGTGTAGGGGAGAAGATATTCTTTAACGCTGCTGATGAAATATTGCTTACAGAACTTAATGGCTGTATCATGTTTTCTCAGATAGTGTATCAGTGACTATTGTATAGAGGGGCAAAACTAGAACGTTAATTGGGTAGGAGATGGGGTGTTTAATAACGCTGCTGATGAGATGCCGCTGACAGAACTCAATGCCTGTATCATGTTTTCTCAGATATTGTAGCACGCACCACTGTATAGAGGATCGAGACTAGAATGTTTAATGGGTGGGAGAAGGGGGTATTCATATTTTCAATTGTGGTCTACTGAATTCTTGTGAATACCAACGTATTCTACATTTAACATAATGCAAATATAGTTAAACAAATAGACCAATAAATAGATATGTTACATGGCTAGATAGTTACATGGCTAGATATAAAATTGATTTGAAAATTTTATGTGAAAGCTGGGAAATGATTTGCTCAATTGCTCTCTTTAACTTTATTTATAAGAGATCTCCAAAGGAGCGTTCTATTATACGAGAAAATTTTTCAAATTATTAAAACGTGATTGTGTTAGCCAAAGACAATTGAAATGTTCTGCATCACACATAAAACACAAAAAAGATGTCACAAAACTTAAAGCCGTAAGTTCGATCATTTGCTTGTTTCGTTCGTGTTGCTTATCTTGTCAATTATTTTATACTTTAACACTACAAAATCATGATTTCTTTCACATGTTTCTAAAACAGACAAGAATCTTATCGAAAGGGCTGAAAGATATGATAAGAATTTAAATCGCTTACTTTTTTTGTGGTGTTAAATACTTATTGAATTGCATGATTCCTTTTCTACCTGAGTAAAAATTTCATCAGAAAGAAAATTTTCTCGAAAAAGAAAACCCTGACACAATAGACACATGACAGAAAAATTGTTTCTTGTAAATAAACCATCATATGCTTAGTAAAATAATTGAAAAATGCAAAAACCATCTTTAATTTGGCAAAGGTAAAACAATACCAGCAATGTTGCCCGAGAATAAGAAAAACAGGAGATAGGGCTTGAGTTTGCAGAAATAAAGATAACGAGGTTCACTTTACTAAGGTGAATAAGAGAAACAGTACGTGTCAGATACTAAGTTAAAGGTTATAATGCCTATAAAACGAAAATTTTGCAGCCTGTGTTATACTTTTATTGACCAGAAATTTTAATATGACAACGGAGTTTCTCTACTAGTTTATGCATATCTCTTTTCGTTCTCAAGTTATTGAAGCTTTTATTTTGTTCGATTCATCTAACTTGTGACGTCACATTGCATAATAAGAACTAGAATTATTCGGTACATTTGCTAATACTTTACTTCAACTTTGCAGAGCGTCTTTCTCTGTGATGTGTTAATGATATAAAATACTGCCTACTATAATCAACGTAAAGTTGTCAGGAAAATGAAGTGTATTTAAAACATGGCAGCGACTCATTTTGCATGCAATATGATGTCACAAATTAGATAAATTGGTAATAGCAGAGACTTCACTTCAGTATTTTTTGAATGAAAGAGTCATACATAAAAGGTTTTAGAAAGCATTCATTTCAAAGATCTGGTCAATGTAAATATTATGTAACTAGCAAAGTTTTCGTTTTATTGGCACTTTAATGGTGTTCAAAGGTTTGAGAGAATAATTGTTGAGTTTTAGTTGCTCATCGAACTTCAATGTTCATATTTGGCATTAAACATTAGATAGTCTATCTAAATAATGAGTGTCGAGAATGAAATGAAAAATTAAATGAAGCTATTTTGTTATTTTCTACTATAAAAAGTTTTAGACTCTAAAAAATATGCTCTATAAATTTAAATTTAATATTTTCGAAAACGTAAGGTTATTTCTTAAAAAAAATATATGAAATTACTGCAGAAAGAAGTTTTTGCGATTAATTGTATGGTATAAGCAAACCTCAAATGTTGCCAGATTTGATTGTACAATTAAAGAACTTATGGTTTGTCTAATGGTTGTTGATAAGTTTTTTCAAAAATGAGCCGGAGCTAATAATATCCTTTCCTGATTGGGAAAGTTTAAGCTATTTTGACGTATTAATTTCGTTTCTTTCACCATTGAATGTAATATTGTATCTAATTTTTTTAGACTTGATGTTGCAAGAGTGGAAATACATTGATGAATCAACGAAACATAGAGAATTGTTTTTAAAATTGATTGAATATGGACGCAATTCCATTGTTGATGTTAAAGTGGTGGGCAATGTGCGAGTAATTTTCTCAGAAGAGTTTCGCATTGGCAAAGGAAGTGATGCAACCCGTGTTTTTCTTGGACTGGGTAAGGATGGTTACGGTAAAGCAGTGAAACGAATACCTCGAGATAGCTACATCCAGCTTGCGCTGCAAGAAAAAGAAATTTTGAATAAATTCAACGCAAGAAAGTCGAAATATGTTGTGAATTATTCTTTCCTAGAGGAAGAGACTGGAACTGAATATGTATATTTGATATTAGAATTATGTGAAGAATCATTGGAGAATTTCGTAGTATCTTCTACTTTACATGATCTTCAAAAAGCTCTTCCCGAAATTCTTAGACAAATTTTGCAAGGATTAGCTGATCTTCATAGCGGCCTAAATCCTATTCTTCATCTTGATTTGAAGCCCTCCAATGTTCTCCGAGACTCACAAGACAACTTTCTGATAGCTGACTTTGGCATTAGTCGAATATTGAATGATGATTCTACGACATATGAAAGCAAGCCTAACATGGGAACTGAGTATTGGATTGCTCCTGAATCATATTGTGAAATTAAAGATACAGTCGATAAAGGACGGTACAAGAAAGAGTCAGACGTATATGTAAGTGTAGGAATATGACCATTTGCACGACATGCATGTACAAAGTCAATTTGTAACATTACATTGCTAATCTTTTTAGAATGCAGGAATGGTAACTTATTATATTGCAACAAAAGGAAAACACCCGTTTGGAACTAAACGGCATAGATTGGACAATATGTTGAATGGAAACCTTGCTGGCTTAGACGAAATCAAGGATGTAGCATTGAAAGACCTTTTGTTGTGGATTTTAAACCGAGAACCCGAAGACAGACCATCAGCCAACGAGGCGTTAACACATCCATTTCTTATGTCGGATGACGAAAAATTCGACTTATTATGTAAAGTTGGAAATCTTCAGCAGATTAAGACAAATGATCCCCTGTGTAGTGTCGTTCAACAATTGAATAGTGAATCCTCAGATTGGAAAAGTAAAATAGACAGTGATGTTTATGATTATTTTAGAACAGACGTGGTGACTGGAAAGATTTTTACATATGGCTCTTCATGGACAGAATGTTTAAGACTTATTCGAAATATTAACAAGCATTGGAACGATCGACCACGGCCAAAACCTCAACCAGAACCATTTTATAAGATTGGCGATCACAAGGCGTATATTCTCAAAAAATTCCCCAATCTCCCTGTTCGAGTGTATGCTACTGTGAGGTCCAATGAAGAATTGAAAAACAATCCAGATCTCAAGAACTTTTTCAATTTCAGTGAAAAGAAATCACATCAAAAATAAACAGTTTTTAAAGAGTAAAAACAGTTTGTGAAAAGGCAAGTGAACATGAAAGATACCGTGTAAAATAGAATTTACTCAGATTGGAAAAGACAAATAATTTTTTTACGTATATCATTATTTTGATTGTTGGCTTTCATTGACAGATCGATTGATTGCGACCAGCACTAAAACCATCCATTTTATAAAGTTGATGATCCTAAGGAGTTCTTTTTGAAATGCCAGTTCGGGTACGTGTTGCTGTCTGGTGAAATGACGAATTGAAAAACAACCCAGAACTTAAGAACTTTTTCAGTTTTTAATGGAAGCGAACCACAATGAAACGTTTACTGACAGGAAAACAAATAACAAATCAACGATACGGTAGTTAAAGGATTTATTTTGTAGATGTAAAGTAGCGAAACACTTTTCACGACGTATTTGGATGATGTATAATCACATTTCTGCATGTAGCTTACATTATTGAATGATATAATATCTGATTATTTAAATTTTATTCTCATTTGCTTTTGTTGAAGACGTATGACATTTGAAGTCAACTTTATAAAATACATAATAAAACTCTTATACCATAGTAAATGGTATTTCTGGAGTTTCAATATTACCAAGATACCGTTTATTAATGTATTAAAAGGCAGTGATAATGGTTAATGCCAGAAGCACAATTAAATGGACTTAAGCTCTGAATTTAATAAACATTAATTATCTGAAGAGACTGAACAAAGGCAATTAAAAAAGCAAATTAAGCCTTTACAGCAAACGAAGAGTGAATTCGGTATAGCACGCAGCTTAATAGTCTGGTCTTGCACCCGTTTCGCTCATTCTAAATTGGTATTACTCAGAGTTCTAAACTTTAGGGGGTGTTTACATGAATCCGGAATGACTTTCAATTCCAATCGAAACGTGATGTCAATCCACGTTTATATGGGAAATCAACTCAAGGATTGACTTTTCGCAGGAATTTTGAATTTTGAAGATAACGAACTTAAACATTATAACAAACCTTTTCTTTCCTTTCGTTTCTGAGTTAATACAGCTTAATACTTGCATAAAACTAATTGTTGCTTTTTTTCGCACTCATTATAGCCCATTGAATGGAATGAAACTTCGATCCGGAATGAAGATAGGAATGAACTCGATCCAGATCGAGTTGTAACTCATTCCGAATTCATGTAAACATGCAGTAGAATTTCTTTTAAAATGGAATGAGTTCATTCCGGATCGAAAGTCATTCCGATTCATGTAAACACCCCCTTAGAATGCGGAAGATAGCCAAATTAGATTGCTTTCTGTGCTATCTAATAATGGATGCGGTATGATGTTGTTGTACACTATTCTACACATTAGGATAATATCTGAGATCGTCGCCATTTTTGTTTCCAAACATACACTAATAATCTACATATACCAAGGAATTATTCAAATACAATGAACAACAGACCTCAAAAATATAACAAACTTTCAAGAGAGCAAACTGATGCTCTTAATTACTATTTCGAGAATGGCCTGAAATTTACTCTGTGTTATGAGCTGATAAAAACAGCCGCCGAAGAAACGTCGTTGTCTGTGGACAAGGTCAAGGTGAGAACGACCGCTTCTTTAGTTGTCCGCCGTCTTTTAAAAATTTGTCTGTATGCAATAAACCAACAACGAAAGAAACGCTATCAAATCAAAGCCATACGTATCTTAATCACATCCCTAAATTTGTATTTCTATTCCACAGTATGAAGTTCTACTTTAAACTTTTCTTTTTTTCAAAAAGCACATTCTTATAATGTTTTGTGATATACAATAGACATTCTTTATGTACAGAGTTATAGGCTGTGAAACACAGTAACTGGTGCAGCTTTATTGTAACACTTGATGTTATAATGTCAGTAAAAATTTCACAAAATTTGTTTGATACTGCATGTTTTGAAATCATTCAAAAGCTTCTTCACAACTGACATTATGCTTTTTTCAGAAATAGATTGGCAACAAAGTTGCTTCTGTCAAAAGAAAATGTCAATCTAATAATTCAGAGTCACCCCTACCCTCATGTAATCCACCAAAAGTCCCCAAACCACCACCCAGATAACGGAGGTCATACGGATATAATCTATTTCGCTCCGAGTTTTTTAAATCAGGTGAATGAAATATTAAAATCACATTAGTATCATCAATAAGGTTTTAAGGAATGTTACCCATCAAGAATTTGATATGATGAAAGCCTTGACAAATTTATCCATTATTGCAGATGAAGTAAAGGGGCTGTCTCCACTGATCTGATAATAAACTGGATATAGCTTCTACAGGTAGCAAATGTGGTTCACCTAACGGGGGATGTCAAGATGTTTGTAACTCTGCAGATGGATCGTGTTTATGTGTAACTCGCCCAGGCTATGAACTTCAAGGTAATGACAATTCAATATATATTTTTCTAAACAAACTTCAACAAAAAAAACAAGTGTTTTAGTCATGGAATATTGTAATGCTTGAAGCATCAGATTATTCACCACACCTGTAAAAAAACATGAGAATCCGTCCATGGTTCAAAGCATTTAGTAAGTAGAAAATGGGCAAACGTGAGCACGTTGGAAAAAACATTGTTCGAATCGAAAAAGTATTTTTTTACTTCAGCTTCAGGTTAAAGAAGAAACAGCGATTCATCGTGCGTTATTTATAAACTGTCCGTCTCGTCAAAATTTTGAGCACTACTTGCATTATTCTGTCGCGAGTTGTACCACTTTCACTTCAACGTGATCACCGAATCCACATAAAAATGATAATGTGAACTACATATGTAAGCGCGTAGTTAATTTAAAGTGTTAAGTCTCATTTGCTTGTTGTTTTTTCAACACGTAATTAACAACATCACACTCCATAGCTAAAAACTCCGATCTTTCAGAATTTTCAAAACTGCGGGAGTTTATTCTGTAATTTTCATACAGCAGCGTATTGAAGTTGGAATACCTTGAGACATAGTACATCGCAGTAATTCATTATTTAAAGTGTCCTTATATGGTAATGATCCGTTATTATATTCCATTTATGGTAATAACCAGTTATTTAAACTTTCCATTTATGGTGATCACCCGTTACAGTTTTCATATAGGGTAATAACCATTTTTTCCATACATGGTAATGACCAGTTATTTAATGCTTCCATATATGGTGATGACCATTATTTAAAAATTCCATATATAATGATGACCAGTTATTGAATGTTTCCATTTATTGTATTGTATTTTATTTTCATTCAGCTGATGGTAAATCATGTGGTGATATAGACGAATGTAAAAATAGAAATGGTGGTTGTATCGACTCCAACTGTAGAAACACAGATGGTAGCTATTGGTGTGAATGTTTACCTGGTTATAAACAATCAGAAATAACTCCACGCAAGTGTGAACCTAAATCATGTTCACCATTGATCTCACCTCCATGTCCGTCAAATGCATATCATGATGAGTTTGGAACAGCCTGCAAACCTGCACGCATCAGTTGCCCACACGGACATGAATATTTGAAATTCTGTTCCATTGACTGTGATGGCAATTTCAAACTAGCTGCCATTGGATCAACAAACTTCCCTAACGCCTTCGCTAAAAACTTCCATATGGTAAATTTCAACGTACCCATTGAGAGGGCTCAATGTATATTGGACGGTAACACCGGGAATGTTGCTTGGGACTGGGATCCAATTGCTGTTCCTTATTACTGCAGGAGAGTAAACGATCCACCTTCACATATACATTTCTCGACAGATTGTATCAATGAGACAATAAACACTTTACCCTTTGTCGGCCTTTTCTTTGCAAGCGATTTTCAAAATGATCCCTTGACGTTCACAATAATGAATGAAGACGCAAATTTTTATTTTGTTGTTCAAGGAAGAGCATTGTTGGGAAAAAGACATTTGGTGTGGAAACCCTGGTCAGATAATATTTACACTGTTAAAATCAAAGTAACCGACAATGGTTCACCTGTTATGTTTACTACAAAAAGTTTTAACATTACTGTGTTGAACATTAATGATCCTCCTTACGATATAAAACTTTCAAATAACGAAGTGCTTGAAAACGTCAATATTGGTTCTGTTGTTGGTAATCAAACAGCTAGAGACGATGATCTTGATCGAAAACACACTTCAAATTTTGACTGGGAATTGGTTGACTCTGGTAATGGTTACTTCAAGTTGCTAGATAACAAGATAGTTGTTGCAAAAAGCCTCGATTACGAAGCAAAGAATACACATCGTATAAAGATATAATGTACGGACCGAGGTCATCCACCAAAATCTTCGTATATTCATATTTTTTATGTTTTTGTGCGAGACGTCAGCGAATCACCCAAGGATATAATTTTGAAGGGTAATCGCATCCCGGAGAATTGCGTTCTGGGGTCGGTCATCGGCGACTTCGTTGCGACTTATGACGATAATGACACGTTAAAGTTTTATTTGAATCACAGTAGTGTTTTGCTTCGTGAAAAGTTTGCTCTACAAGGTTTGTATACATGGGGAATTTTTTGATTTTACATCCATAACCTTTGATAGTGTGATTTAATTTTCTTCATTCTTTAATAGCAAATACAAAAAAAAATTATCAGTATAATAACAATAGATTAAATCAACACTGACTCTGAGTACTTTGAAAAAGGAAGATTTTAAATTTTTCTCTGTAGTTTGTAAATCCAGTATTGTTTACATAAAAACTTCTTTCAGGTGTTCCAAACGTTGAAAATCGTACAATGAACGTTAAATCAACTAATTTTTACTCGATTCCCCTCGTTGTTAACGGTTCTCTTGATTATGAAGAAAGAAACGTGTACATTATTTGGTTGGCTGTCGCAGATCCTGTGAGAATGGCGCTCAAACAATTTAGGATCGAAGTAACCGATGTAAACGAAGCTCCAACTGATATTTTGATGTCTAAAAATTTTGTAGCAGAGAATTCTCCTGCTTCAACAGTGATTGGAAAGTTTTTGGTGAGTTAAACATCAATCGGTTGCTTAGATTTCGTGTTTGTTAATAAGATATACCGAGATTCCTCGAAGGCAATATTTTTGTTAAAAAATATAAATGCTCTTTTTAAGAATTCATTTTAACTGTCGCGTTTTTCAATTCTTTCAAAACTTCACACTATCACTGTAACTTCGTAAAAGCAATTTCAATCCTAATCCAACACTAAACATATTTTAGTCAGAAAGAACTTATACTTAACAAGGAGACATACAATTACCTTATAAAAAACTTAACCTAGAACATGCATTAAGAGTATACTTTTGTCACAGGTAAAAGATCCAGATGTTAAAAGTGTGCCACCTCAGATCCATATTTGCTCCCTCGAGAACTCATTAAATGATGACGAAGATGAAAATGAGTTTTAAATAACTCATGAAACTGATAGCAATTTTCTCCGAGTTAAATATAATAGCCTTCTCGATTTTGAAGAAAGAAATGTTTACAATATCAATGTCACTTGTAAAGATGCTGCTGGCCTCGATATTTCAAAGTCATTTAAAGTTTTCATCACTGGTAAGTCTATCTTTTAACCCTTTACTTCCCAACTTTTTTGATCCTATGAATTTGGGATGGTTTCATTGATGTTGTTAACGACAACGCTGGGAAAGAAAGGGTTAATTACATCCTGAGTGCTGTTTATGCTGAAGTTGGCTGGCAAAAATCAATCAACTCGGAAGCCTTGAACTCTGAAATTTGGTGAAAGATCGTAATAGAAAATGTGCTTTAGTTGCTGAATTTTTGCTTAAGATAATATTTTTTCTCTATTTTGTGCTGTCTGTTATTTGTTAGTTTTTGTATTCAATGTTGTTTTTACTTCAGTTTTTATAAAATAAATGTTATTTTGTAGATGTTAACGAAGCTCCAACATCTCTTTACTTATCAAATTCAACCATCCAGGAAAACTCTCCTAACATGACGTATGTTGGCACTTTAACCGCTGACGATCCAGTTGGTTCAAATCAGTCCTTTGCTTACACTCTTGCTGATAATACTGCGTCTTTTGTCATTGGTGGAACCAATCATGATGAATTATTTCACTTTGGATCAGTTAATTACGAGCTTACACCAAGTTTAGGGGTACTCATTATTGTTAGAGATGGCGGTGGATTGCATTTTGAAAAGAATTTTACCAAAACTGTTTTAGGTTTGTTTCTTTACGTTAAAGCCATAAATAAATTAAATCTAGATTATTTTAGGTAACACCAAGTTTACAGAGTACTAGTCAGGGTAAACAATTTTCGTGTGACTGACGATTATATGCTATAATGTTTGGAAAGATTGATAAAGGGGATGGTGGGATTAACATGATTCTAAATAGAAAATTTGAGATGAAATAAAGCAGCGAAGGATCTAGTCTTAAGAGGCTCTAAGAGTGGCTTAGGGATTACATAGTTGAAAACACAAACACCAAATCAGTTACACAGTTTAGCTATATATTATTGGAGTGACAAAAGGCATTAGGAATTGGGGCGTCAATTTAAAACTACTCCCTGACAATGGCATGCTGGCAGGAGGTCATGCCCTCCCCCCAGCTGTTGATTTTGACGGTGCAGAAATAAATTTGGGGCGTCAAAATTTGAATTTTGGTTGGAAAAACGCATTAGACACTATATCAGTAATATTCTATCCCTAAAGTCCAAGAAATGGAATTTTAGCTAGAGCTTCTTGATTTAGAAATGTTCCAGGAGAGCATGCCTCTGACTCCCTCAGTACGACCCGTGGTGCTCGGCTCGGGACTTCAGCACACGTTTTCAAAGTGTTGTATTTTTGATGGCTTCCTAATTCTTTCTAGCGCGCCACTGCTCCCTGATGGACGCATAAAGATACTACGTTGTTAAGTCATTTACGTCTTCAGTATGTTTCGTTTGTAGATGTAAACGGTGCGCCCACAAACATTGAAATAAGTAAAGACTCCTCATTTAAGGGGAACAGCGTAGAGGATGTCTTTATAAGCAATGTCATCGTGATTTACGAAGATAAAAACACAAAACCATCATGTAAACTTCTTGATTCCAACGAGGATCGAGTGAAACTAAACACTCTCACTTTGCTTGTTGGAGTTCACTCTACAGATTACGAAAGTCTGGATTCTTCAAAATCTTTGAAGATTAATATCAGCTGTGAAGATCAATATGGAAAGGCTATCAATAAATTGTTGGTTATCCCAGTCAAAGGTACTTTGTGATTGAACAAATTGTTGACTTGTCACATTTTTTACGATCAAACGGCTTTTTGCCTCCGTTTAAAACTGTGGGAATATTTTGAATGTAAAAAAGGATAACAGCCTATATTAAGAATTTCTGACGTTAGTTTTTATTATTAAACGACTCAGCTTTTACAGAGTTTTATAATAAAGATTTTAGAAGTTGTCATTTACTGTTGACTTTTGGTAAATTGGAACCAAAAGGTGTGTAAATTGTTGAACAAATTGTCGACCACATTTTTCGTGATGAAACGGCTTTTTACCTTCTTTAAAAGTTAATAGGAAAATTTTGAGTGAAAAAAGGATAACAGCCTGTATTAGGAATTTCTTGCCTTAAATAAAACTATTCCGATGTATGTCGGTACTTCTGCAAAAAATATGTTCCGAGTTTTTACAGAGCTGTGTTATAAAGATTTTTGGTAAGATGTCATTTACTGTTGACTTTTGGTAAATTAGAACAAATGGTGTGATATGTTTCTGTTCTCATCGTGATGACGTTTACCAAATATTTGTTATTTCTAGGGATTTTTTAAAACACAAAATTGTCAACTAAAAAGTGAAAACATCCTTAATTCAAAGATAATGAAAATATTATAGGGGTATCTACTGGTGTATCATTGTATTATTTAGTTGATCCACTGGCAGGTCTTTGCATACATTAATGGATCTACTAGTGGATCGTTGTATACATCAATGTATGTACTGGTGGTTCTCTGTATACATTGGTGGATCTACTGGCGGATTTTTTCATCTACTGGTAGTCATTTGTATACAATAACGGGGGTCTACAAGTGAATCTTTATTCAGACTGGTGTATTTTTACCTAGCAAAGTATTCTCGTTTTTTTGTTGCCTAAGGTCGAGAATCGAAAATTCTTTGCTGCTTTAACTCTCCACAAACCATTGTTCATCATTAATTGAATAATGTACTACGCAAAATAGTTCATGTTTAAGTGATACATTGTCTTTATTACATACAGATGTGAACGAAGAACCCACGTCAATATGTCTCGTAACTCCTCGCTCTGGTCAAAATTGTTTAGTTGTTGGTGAAATCTTTATCATTGTCGTTAGTTTTGTTGTTTTCATTTGTATGATTTGCTTGATCTGGAAGTGGAGAAGACAACAGGTAGGTTTATTATTTGTACTTTTATAGTAAGCCCCCCCCCCCTAACTTGGACCAAACACTGGCACTGGTAAAACTGAGCTTACGTGATCCAAAATAAATTTTATCTCCATCAAACGAGCGAAAAACATGCAAAACCTTGTCAGTTAACTGTAATTTCAACTGTAACGGGTTGGTGGAATTATTTGTGTAAAAATGGCGACTGACATATCAAACAAAAGCATAAATATTTCCTGCTCTTTGTTTTTTTTTCGAATTGTATATTCAGCATATTTCAATAAAGGAAATACGAATACACCGTCCCGAAAATTATGCAATTATTAAATCTAATGATAAGAGCGTTTATGTTGAGTTATCCCTCCAGTTGATGATTATTAAGCCCTTACTAAGCGAGGTCGGCTGCTCAAAGTCTTTATGGAGAAATATTTGATCGAAGTTTTTTCATACAGACCAAGCACGTAGGGCGAGTAAAGTAAAAAATTAAAACATCCCACCACATGAAAAAACAAACTGACAAATCATTTTGTATAAATATGCACAAATTGAATTTACTAAAAAAGACAATTATTATAATATTACAATATGTTATTATAATATAACGAAACGTTAACTCTTCGAAATTTAGTTACGTCATGGAGTAAACCCTCCTGAGAGAGTCCCTATAGAGGTGGACGATAAAGGCAATTGGAGACCAATAAAAGAAGAACAAGGAAGCTTGGATGAAAATCAAATCCGACATCGGAGAAAAAAACGAGCACGTTAGCAATTCCTCGTCACAATTGTAATTGCAATTACAAATCTTTCTCACACAATTTTTGTAATCTTGCCTAAGGCACACACACACACATGTAAGTCATTAAATAAAATAATATTTTGTTAGTTCGACTACAAGATTGTTTTCGTTCTCTGTTGCTCATTCATTTCTACCTTTACATACTGGTACACGTAACTTGAAACCACTCGGACAGTTATTTGCCAACTATTGCTCACCAATCAATATTTTTGCATAATCAGCGCTCTCACTCATTGCGTCATTTTACCATGGAAACATGCATTAGGTTGTCAAAGATGGCGGACTGAAACTAACACTTGAAAGGAACAATATTTATACATTTTTTAAAGAAATGTATTATTTCGTAAATTCGAATGGTTTGGTTGATGAGTTTGATGAAAGGAGGCGTTCCTTGTCGTGTATCCTTGTCTTTTATGATGTGAATTTTTGGCAGCATTCAATTAAATAATTAGCTTCTCTTTTGAGTTTTGACAGCCTCGTTTAATGACATTATATACTTGATAATTTGCCTTATGCGATTTTGTTTTGATCTTTTAATTGTCGGCTTTATGTTATAGCTAAAATTGCAAGTGAGCAGATTTTTGCAGACATTTCTTATGGGTTTTCTTTGTATAAACCTATCAAAAAATGGGAAAATGTGTATTGTACATGTAAAAATCGAGCGAATATAGTATTCGTCTTTAATTTATCTGCGAAGCCTCTAAAGGAAAAATGGATTCTATCGATTGCATCAACCAAAAGATAAGAGACCTTGGCACAGAGTTGACGTCGTTTTATCCTAAAAATGAGCTTGTAATAGAAAGTTATGGTGAAATAAGATCAAATGTTAGTAGTCAAAGCGAAAAAAATTTTAGTTTTGGACTATTAGAAATTGATTATCGAGCTCCGAAGCAAGTTTCACGAAAATCAGCTATCTCGACGCGAGGTGTGTCTTTGTTTTCTTTTCAACAGTAAGATGTCTTTCTCACGAAAACAAAGATTTTTCGTTGTCTAAATTTAAATTGATTTCTGTTTTCATGACTTTAAAGAAAAGAAAAGTCAAGATGTGAATAAGTTTGCTGGTGTTTACTCCATGAGAACAGGTTGATTTTGTACTTGAGTTTTTGTCTTATACCTTGGTGTTTTTAACCTTATGCCCTAGCTTATACCTTGGTGTACTTGTTTATACCTTGCCATACTTGTATTATACATTAAATTACTTGTTTTACTCATTTGTGTACTGGTGTTGTACATTGATGTACTTGTCTTACACCTTTGTGTACTTGTCTTACACCTTACATATTCTTTATTTGACAGTCATGGGAAAAAACACAAACCCTTTTCATACTCATGGTGGAACAATTAATCCAACAAAGAAGTTACTTAGCAAGGTTTTGTTGCAATTTAATTTAATTTTATTTTCCAACTTATCTCCAATAATTTTCCTGGAATAATTATTACGAGTAAGTTTCTCTTGCTCTGAATTTCATTTTCATCCATCTACTTATACGTTTGTGAGATTTTCAAACAGGTTATGGGACAATCGTTACACTTAGCTTACTCTAAATAGATTCAACGAGATGAAACTAAAGTTTCAAAAAGACCTTTACTTGTCGAGGTAAACATATTGAATTTTACAAAATCTTAAACATCAAAAACATATACTTTATTTCCTGGTGTACAGTCTGCAAGTTCTCTTTTGGTTATGAAAATCATTGCTAGTGTGGGTTGTAGCTGAGGGTATTCTGTTAAATCCTTTAGAGAATATTTGATTCAACATTGCTAGCAGCTTAGATTTTCATTTATTGATATTAGAGATTGTTTAGCTAAGGGAACGGATGGCACCATTTATCTACTATTGCTGCACCATTGCACCATCTATCTACCATTGCACCATGTATCCACCATTGCACCATCTTTCCATCATTGCACCATCTATCCACCATTGCACCATCTATCTATCAATGCACCATCTATCCATCATTGCACCATCTATCTACCGCTGCCCATCTATCCACCATTGCACCATCTATCCATCATTGCACCATCTATATATCCATTGCACCATCCATCTACCATTGCACCATCTATCCATCATTGCACCATCTATCCATCATTGCACCATATATCTATCCATCATTGCACCATCTATCCACCATTGGACCATCTATCCATTATTGCACCATAGATCCACCTATTGCATCATCTATCCATCATTGCACCATCTATCCATTATTGCACCATCTATCCATCATTTCACCATCTATCCAACATTGCACCACCTATCCACCATTGCACCATGTATCTATCATTGCACCATCTATCCATCATTGCACCATCTATATATCCATTGCACCATCCATCTACCATTGCACCATCTATCCATCATTGCACCATCTATCCATCATTGCACCATATATCTATCCATCATTGCACCATCTATCCACCATTGCACCATCTATCCATTATTGCACCATAGATCCACCTATTGCATCATCTATCCATCATTGCACCATCTATCCATTATTGCACCATCTATCCATCATTTCACCATCTATCCACCATTGCACCACCTATCCACCATTGCACCATATATCTATCATTGCACCATCTATCCACCATTGCACCATGTATCTATCATTGCACCATCTATCCACCATTGCACCATATATCTAACATTGCACCATCTATCCACCATTGCACCATATATCTATCATTGCACCACCTATCTACCATTGCACCATATATCTATCATTGCACCATCTATCCACCATTGCACCATATATCTATCATTGCACCACCTATCCACCATTGCACCATATATCTATCATTGCACCATCTATCCACCATTGCGCCATTTATCCACCATTGAACCATCTATCCATCATTGCACCATAGATCCACCTATTGCATCATCTATCCACCATTGCATCTTCCATCTACATGCACCATTTTTCCTTCATCATCTAACTATCTAAGCAAAAAGGTTTTCAATTTAGTTGCACACATTTCCTGGCTTCAACAAAACAAAATTAACACCTTTGCTTGTGTCACTTTCAATGGAGCATATCTTGAATATTGTGACTAACGCTCAAAGTGATCTTGTGAAAAAAGTAAGAAAAATAAATCCTTCATCTCATCGTTTGGAAGCCACAAAACCAACGATCATGAAGACGATCGTTAATGTTTAAGAAATTTTCTATACTTTTTTATACTATAATTTTTTCCTGTTAAAAGTCTTTTACGCATGCTCGTTTGTGGAAATTAAGGATCCGTACCATTTATTTTCTAGCCTTTTTCTCTGTGACCCATGAACACGCTTTGTATTTCTTTCTTTTTTTCTTTGCCTCCTTTTTTCATTCCCCCTCAATCGTTTTTTCACACCCCCCCCTTCAATTCTCTGTATCCCTTATGAACACCCTCTACTTATCACCTGTGGTGTTAAATTGTAAAGTAAAATTACTGTTTTTTTTAAATTAATCTTGATTGTGCTTCTCAATATTATTTCTCATAAAAAGTTCATAGTAAGAACAGTAACACATTAAAATGTTTATTAACGTTGACAGCCTGGATTTCGTAAAGACGTCAAGAAATTGTTTCTAAGTCGACTGTCAATGGCTCTTGTACAGGTATTATACAGTATTGAGGATTGTATGTACAATTATCAAAGTGTTTTTGATTATTTGATTACCTTACGACCCACAAAAGGTTTATCAAGGAGAATATTTTATCTTTTTTATGATCTGTTTTGGTGGTTGTTTCTTGAAAAGTATCAGGTATTTTGTCTCTCTATATTCAATATATGTCTCTAGAAATGTTCAAAGATTATAAGATTATAACTGATATTATTAAAGTGATGGAAAATACGTAGATAGTTAAAAATTGTGGTTTCAGTGGAAATCCTGTACGTAAAAGTTAAAATACTATAGTCATGTCAAGGGAACACTTTCTCATCGCAATGCGTCATTGCGGTATCATGTAGATAGAAACAAAACTCTAGAAACGGAATGGCGAAGTTTAATTCATGTAAACGCCTAAATCCACTTCCTAATAATTATATATAAATATAGCTTGCAAGTATTGGTTCGGGAGTTCGGAAAAGTTGACGTTATTGGTGTATGAACTGGTCATACAAATTTGATAAATTAGCCGTCATATTGCAGAAGGCAATAAAATTCGAAAACTCAGTTTAAGGATTGACGGTTGTCCGTAATCTTAACGATATCAATTTAAATATTCCGTATCGCGAAGAACCAGCGTTTGGAACTCCGTAACGTAAAAATCGTGCACAACCACTGTAAATATCCTATCGAAGTGTTAAATATAATTGTCAAAATCCAGTCCCATCGTTCGAGTGAAGTTTTGAGAACAGTGAACCAGCACTTCTTACAGATTGTGCGAAACCCCCTTTCTCCCTTGCCTGCGCTTGTTAAGATTTTAACACAAATTTCTCAGGCACAAATTTCGACTTTTTGCTTCACTTGCAGCTTTTGTACAGTGTTCAATGAACAGATAGTTGAAGTTCAAGAAGCAACAAAAAAACTGGCTTACTTGAAACTAATTAATGTCATACTTTCCTTGAATCATTCTTTTAAGGAATGTAATGCTCATTATTTTTGGACTTTACTGTTCATGATGCTGTTAAACTAAAAGTATTGTTTTCTATGGCTATTGTATCTAGTTATTTTTCTTTTGTAAAGTTAGCTAAAGGAATTAATGAAACCATGTAAGGCAGAGAGACAATATACAATTATAGACGAAACACAGTTTTATTTAAAGTGATATCTGACGAATTTAGCGGTATACTATACTGTTTTAGCTTTCTGTTGCTCATTCAACACAATGTTTTATTGTACTCATATTTAAAACTGTGTGGAATGTATTATTTGAATAACACATGCAGTTTAGCGTTCATGAAAACAGAAAAGAAACAGCATGAAATCACAGTGTGGACCGTGTGGTACGAAATATGAAAGAACATTAGTTAATGATTGAAGACATCTTTGACAACTTTAAACCGGAGTTCTTTTTCATTTATATGAAGAATATTTTCCTGTGGTAAAACGTTTGAATCCTTAGTAATGTTATTGAGACGTTTCTTTCTTGTTATTTATTTATTGTTGGTATTTCATTTGATCTTCGTGTTATCATCGAGAGCAAGAAGACGAAGTCCAACACCACTTCCACCATCAGTAAATTGTCAAGTTTCGCGTAAGTTATTGCTTTGCCTTATTTTAGATGTTGGAAGAAATGCTTAAAAATTATTAGTTGCTCATTGTATAAGTCATGGCTCATCCATCCGTAACATCAAATATTGATTTGAGGTAATGTAGACAGATATATAGTCTTATTTTATGTGATCTTTCACTTGAATTTTGAACCCAGAATTATCTTCCTGCGTTCTTTAGATTTACAAATGTTCCTATAAACTATTGTGTGCTTAACTGCATATAATAATTTCTGAAACCTTCGATACTTATGCCGGAATTCGCGCTTCGACTTTTAGATTATTTTAGATAATCCTTGCCATTATAACTTGCAGTATTTAGTGACGATCGGTTCTTGCAGATCGATAAACTTCTGGTTCAAATAATGTTTATTTTGTGCTCATTATAAAGTAACGTCTTCGCGGCTCTTGATTTATATTACATTTAAACTATTCTTGTGCAACAATTTGATACATCTCATGCTTCGTTGGCCCTTCTCAGTATGCAGTCGTTATCAAGAATTTATCGTTGTTCTCAATGAGACGATTTGAAACGACCTGAAATGAAAAATCATAGGTGCGAAAATTTGCAAAAAATAATTCCAATTGTTACAAACGTCGAAGCAACGAAACAAGATAACAGCGTTCAACCATTATTTTCAAAATAGCAAAATTCCGTCCGTCAAGGCATCTTTACAGTTTACACTAATCCTTGGGATCGCTGGTTAACTACAGTGTACATTTTAATTTCATACATGACACTTACAACACAAAGAAATCGTTTGTTAATACTTGTTATATGTAATACAAGGTTGTAAGATAGTGTAAGGATGGTGTAGCCAACCTGCTTATCCACTCATTACCGTGAAATTTTTCTTTATTTTTTATACACTTACTACAAAAACAAAAAATTCATAAAACATAAATAATGATAATGATCTGAATTTACAAGCAGAACTAAAACTTGCAATCTGACTACGCTACTGACAGTGAGAAAATTTCAACACCGTAAAAGGACAAAAACACATAACTTGATTTTTAATCCAGTATTCTTCCATCATCTTTCTACAGCGTGGACGGAGTTTAGTGCTTGCAGTACAAAATGTGACATTGGAACGAGTACTCGTCGTCGTCACATCACGACACGTCTTGTTCACGATGGGTCCCCATGTCCTTCTTTAGAAGAGTCTCGTCAATGTGGTTCACCTAACGGGGGATGTCAAGATGTTTGTAACTCTGCAGATGGATCGTGTTTATGTGTAACTCGCCCAGGCTATGAACTTCAAGGTAATGACTATTTAATATATATATTACTGAATGACCGATCGTCATAAAAAAACGGGGCGCTGAATCAGATTTCACACCCCCTCCCCATTAAGTAAATTGTTCAACCTCTAATTCGCATAAAAAGATAATGTGAACTACATAAGTAAGCGCAAACTTTTTTAAAAGTGTTTAGTCTCATTTACTTGTTTTTTTTGCAACATCTAGTAAACAACACGACACTCCATTGTTAGACCTCTGATCGTTCGGAAGTTTCAAAACTGCGGTAGTTTATTCTGTAATTTTATACAGCTGCGTGTTGAAGTTAGATTATTCGCAGTAATTCATTATTTAAGGTTCCATATATGGTAATGACCCGTTATTCAAAGTGTCCATTTATGGTAATGCTCATTCCTTAAAGTTTTCATATATGATGACGACCGTTATTTAAAGTTTACATATATGGTAATGACCCATTATTTAAAAATTCCATATATGGTAATGACCCGATATTGAAAGTTTCCTTATATGGTGAGCTATCTTATTTCCATTAAGATGATGGCAAATCATGTGGTGATATAAACGAATGTAAAAATGGAAATGGTGGTTGTATAAATTCCAACTGTAAAAACACAGATGGTAGTTATTGGTGCGACTGTTTATCTGGTTATAAACCATCAGCAATAACTCCACACAAGTGTGAAGCTAAATTATGTTCACAATTGATCCCACCTCCATGTCCACCTAATGCATATCATGACGAGTTTGGAACAGCCTGCAATCCTGCACGTATCAGTTGCCCACACGGACATGAATATTTGAAATTCTGTTCCATTGACTGCGATGGCAATTTCAAACTAGCTAGCATTGAAGCAACAAACATCCCTAACGCCTTCGCTAGAAACTTCCTTACGATAAATTTCCACGTACCCATTGAGAGGGCTCAATGTATATTGGACAGTAACACCGAGAATGTTGCTTGGGACTGGGATCCAATTGCTGAGCCTTATTACTGCAGGAGAGTGAACGATCCACCTTCAAATATTCTTTTCTCAAGCACTTATATCAATGAGAAAATGAACACTTTTGCCATTGTCGGCTTTTTTATTGCAAACGATTTTCAAAATGATCCCTTGACGTTCACAATAATGAATGCGGACGCAAAGTTTTATTTTCTTGTTCAAGGAAGAGCATTGTTGGTAAATAGACGTTTGGTGTGGAAGCCCCGGTCAGATAATATTTACACTGTTAAAATTAATGTGAGCGACCATGGTTCACCTGTTATGTTTACTACAACTAGTTTTAACATTACTGTGTTGAACGTTAATGATCCTCCTTACGACATAAAACTTTCAAATACCGACGTTCTTGAAAACGTTAATATTGGTTCCGTTGTTGGTACTCTAACAGCTAGAGACGATGATCTTGGTCAAAAACCTACTTCACGTTTTACCTGGGAATTGATTGACTCTGGTAATGGTTACTTCAAATTGCTGGATAACAAGATAGTTGTTGCAAAAAGCCTCGATTACGAAGCAAAGAATAAGCATCGTATAAAGATAAAATGTACGGACCGAGGTCATCCACCAAAATCTTCGTCTATCCAGAGTTTGTTTGTCGTTGTACGAGACATTAACGAATCACCCAAGGATATAAATTTGACGAGTAATCGCATCCCGGAGAACTGCGTTCTGGGGTCGGTCATCGGTGACTTCGTTGCGACTGATGACGATAATGACATGTTAAAGTTTTATTTGAATCACAGTAGTATTTTGGTTCGTGAAAAGTTTGCTCTACAAGGTTTGTATACATGGGGAATTTTTTGATTTTACATCCATAACCTTTGATAGTGTGATTTAATTTTCTTCATTCTTTAATATCAAATACAAAAAAAAATTATCAGTATAATAACAATAGATTAAATCAACACTGACTCTGAGTACTTTGAAAAAGGAAGATTTTAAATTTTTCTCTGTAGTTAGTAAATCCAGTTTTGTTTACATAAAAACTTCTTTCAGGTGTTCCAAACGTTGAAAATCGTACAATGAACCATAAATCAACTCATTTTTACTCGATTCCCCTCGTTGTTAACGGTTCTCTTGATTATGAAGAAAGAAACATGTACATTATTTGGTTGGCTGTCGCAGATCCTGTGAGAAAGGCGCTCAAACAATTTAGGATCGAAGTAACCGATGTAAACGAAGCTCCAACTGATATTTTGATGTCTAAAAATTTTGTAGCAGAGAATTCTCCTGCTTCAACAGTGATTGGAAAGTTTTTGGTGAGTTAAACATCAATCGGTTGCTTAGATTTCGTGTTTGTTAATAAGATATACCGAGATTCCCCGAAAGCAATGTTTTTTTTTAAAAAATATAAATGCTCTTTTTAAGAATTCATTTTAACTGTCGCGTTTTTCAATTCTTTCAAAACTTCACACTATCACTGTAACTTCGCAAAAGCAATTTCAATCCTAATCCAACACTAAACATATTTTAGTCAGAAAGAACTTATACTTAACAAGGAGACATACAATTACCTTATAAAAAACTTAACCTAGAACATGCATTAAGAGTATACTTCTGTCACAGGTAAAAGATCCAGATGTAAAAAGTGTGCCACCTCAGATCCATATTTGCTCCCTCGAGAACTCATTAAATGGTGACGGAGATGAAGATGAGTTTTACATTACTCACGAAACTGATAGCAATTTTCTCCGAGTTAAATATAATAGCCTTCTCGATTTTGAAGAAAGAAACGTTTACAATATCAATGCCACTTGTAAAGATGCGGCTGGCCTCGATATTTCAAAGTCATTTAAAATTTTCATCACTGGTAAGTCTAGCTTTTAACCCTTTACTTCCCAAGTTTTTTGGTCCTATGAGTTTGGGATGATTTCATTGATATTGTCAACGACAACGCTGGGAAAGAAAGGGTTAATTACATCGTGAGTGCTATTTATGCTGAAGTTGGCTGGCAAAAATCAGTCAACCCTGAAGCCTTGAACTCTGAAATTTGGTGAAAGATCGTAATAGAAAATGTGCTTTAGTTGCTGAATTTTTGCTTAAGATAATATTTTTTCTCTATTTTGTGCTGTATGTTATTTGTCAGTTTTTGTATTCAATGTTGTTTTTACTTCAGTTTTTATAAATAAATGTTATTTTGTTGACTTTTGGTAAATTGGAACCAAATGGAGTGGTATTAATGTTTATCAGTATTTTTGTTCTCTTGATGATGTACATTTAATGCTTTGTAAATTACCAAATATTTGTAATTTCCAGGGATTTTTGACAACACAAAATTGTCAACTAAAACAGGAAGATATCCTTAATTCGAAGAGAATGAAAATATTATAGGGGTATCTACTGGTGTATCATTGTATTGCTTAGTTGATCCACTGGCAGATCTTTGCATACATTAATGGATCTACTAGTGGATCGTTGTATACATCAATGGATCTACTAGCGGGTCTTTGTATTTGTTGGCGGGGATCTACTAGTGAATTTTATAGACTGATCGATTTTACCTAGCAAAGCATTCTCGTTTATTGTTGCCTAAGGTCGAGAACCGAAAATTCTTTGTTATTTTAACTCTCCACAATTCAATGTTCATTAATTGAATAATGTACTACACAAAATAGTTCAAGTTTAAGTGCTACATTGTCTTTATTACATACAGATGTAAACGAAGAACCCACGTCAATATGTCTCGTAGCCCCTCGCTCTGGTGAAGATTGTTCAGTTGTTGGTGAAATCTTTATCGAGGATTTGGATTATCCTCAAATACAATGTGGCTTAAATTGGACGGTTGATCTTCAGCCATATTCCGAGAAATTATCGGAATACACTTGTCAAATCAAGAAGGAGGTAGACACTTTAAGTAAAATTACTAAAGTGATTAGTCATTTTTATGTTCATGATAGTCCACCGAAATTACACGTGAAGAAAAGTATATTTATTCATGGAAATCTATCCTACAATGTTCCTATTTCATGTGAAAGTACCTTACATCCACGTCATACCCTGTCAAAAAACCTGGTCGTTCATATTCAAGGTAAAAAAAGCAAGTGAATTTGAGACTGATACATAGAAGAAATAAGATAACGTGTGTCAGTGTAGGTAGTGATGAATGGACAACAGAGAACGAGAACAGTCTTTATACTAACTAAAATATATAAGTAATAAGATAACGTGTGTCAGTGTAGGTAGTGATGAATGATCAACAGAGAACAAGGACAGTCTTTACACTAACTAAAATATATAAGTAATAAGATAACGTGTGTCCGTGTAGGTAGTGATAAATAAACAACAGAGAACAAGAACAGTCTTTTAAGTAACTAAAATATATAATAAATAAGATAACGAGTGTCTGTGTAGGTAATGATAAGTGAAAGATCGAGAACAGTCTAAAATATAAAAAATAATGTATTTTTCTAGTTCCCAATGATGACAACTGTCGTGATAAGGAACTTTGTGCTTCCTGTCCTCAGCCAAAATTCTGTCTATCGAATGTCAAAGCTGCTGGAAAGTAAATGATTTGCATCACTCTGTCATCATTTTAATTTTTAAGTAATCTTATTGTTTCAAATATTTAAATATTTTCTGCTGTATAATTTACTAGATGTATTGATACAGAATATCTTTTGAACTTAACTGTGGATGCCCCTCCATCGTTGTTTAAAAAGCGTGGCTTTATAAAAGTGTTTGAACACTATGTTAAAGATTTGATTGAGGGAACTGAAAAGAGAAGAGTCTAAAAGATTTAATTAAGGAGAAGGAAGGTAGGAATGACCTTCAGTAAATTTTAAAAACAGACTTAAAGGCGATGAAATTTTTTCCATTGGTTTACATGATCTAAATTTTTGAATTTTTCTATCCACTCTGCATCCTGGTATATTCTATGTTTGACAATTAACGCTAAAGGGGAGGGGGGAGTGCAAGGCACTCGAGCTCACTATTAAGCTCTGTTGGGCCGTAGTGTAACATTACCATATCTTTTAAGTAGCCTATATTCGTAGACATTTTGGGTGCAAAAAGAAAAATAAGAAAAAATAAGAAAAAAAGACAAAAATAAGAATTAGATAATGCAAGGTCTGGATTTGATGTTGCAGTCAATGATGTATATAGTGTTTTTATCGTGCTTTGTAAATTTCAGAGCAGCGTCATTTATTTCTCTACTAACAATATACATGAAAAAATTTCTCAATTTTCATTGGTTTAGAGGAGTGCAATTTATCGTAAATACCAGTGCAAAAATAGGAAACACAGGGCAAAAAAAAAGGAAGTACAGTGCAATTTATTTTTGAAAAATGCTCTCCTGATTGGCTAGTCAAAGAAAGAAATGATCTAAGAGCCAATCAAAATAAAACGCGGGAAAGTTAAATTATTTTAAACAAAGCAATTACAACGGCTGCCGTAAGTTTTAAGTAAGTTTTCTTTAGCGAAAAAGTTTACAATTCACCGTTTGCAAAGTGTTTCTAAATGAGAATAACAACACTGCTAAAAGTAGATACCTTGCTCTAACTGCATGTGCAGAAGGTATGGTGTTGCGAAAAGTAATATCCGACAGAATTTAAATATACGAGGCGGTTGATCGATGGTTAAACTCGCCGTCTGAAATGTACGTACGCTGAAGTTAAAAACCAACAGAATTGAGAAATTTTTTCATGTATATTATTAAGCTCTTAATGACCAAGCGCGAGGTCTTTACGGAGAAATAACGGACCGAGGTGTTTTTGTACTGACCGAGCCCGTATTGCGAGGTTTGTACAAAAAGACAGAGGTCCGATATTTCTCAGTAAAGACCGAGAAAACGAGGTTATTAAAAGGTTTATTATATGGCACTATTTGACCTGAAATGAAGCTTGCTTCTTTCTCGTCCTTGCTGTTTTTACTTTAGCAAAGACTACGAGTACGACTACAAGTACGACTACGAGTGCGAAGTACGTCATTTTGGCGCGAAAACATTGTTGCGACACAAAAACACGTAGCCGTCATCAATCTGAGTACGATGTTTTGTAAAAAATTCGTAGTCGCGACTAAGATGTCTTTTTAAGCAAAGAAAGTAGATATATTTTTTCATTCTGTAAGAAATTAGCTTACAGTACTATTTTCGAGCATCCAGGGTTTAATTTAGAACCTTTTTTGAGCGCAGATGTACATTAAAAAGGAAAATATGACCTGCAAAACTTTCATGTATTTCGTACGCAAAGTGAAAGGTAAACAAACAATAAAGTAGTACAAATATATCGTACATAAAACTTAAAATAGTGAAGATTTTTCAGTCTAAAGAGTCCTATATTCTTGCAAAATCAGTATTACCGATTTGTTGATATCATTGTTGCCAAATAGAGCCGTAGCTCTAGCCTAGCTATTGTTTTACACAATAAAAAGACTCGTTCTATGAATGTTTTTATGCAGTGCGGTGTTTGAAATTAAATGAGATATGATCTTCGCACTTAGGTGGACAATTTAAGCAATCGTCTCAGGACCTGAAAAATAAGATCATATCTCATTTAAGACTCGTTCTGTTGTTTACAACTAAAACCAAATTTTAAGGAGCTTTAGCAAGAGTACGACTACGACAACCATTGAGTTCTATAAGACCTGGAGGGGAAACGTCAACAAAATTACTACAAATAATTGGCGCGTGGCAGCGTGGTCAAAAACATGGCGGATTTTGATGGTCAAAGTCAGCGGAGAGACGCGGGCTCATGAAATAAAAATTTTGTCGCCCACCCTGATTTGACCACCACGATTGGGAGTATAGAAAATATCAAACCTATTTTCCTAACATAAACACTTTTTAAAATTATATTTATTAAATAATCTGCAAGCTTCCGTGGTTTGCGGATCATGAAATAACGACAGAAAAGGTAACATTTCATGACTCCTGTACATATCATAGTAGTAGTTTTACTATTTTGTTTTTAACACGATACTTTAAAAAGTGTTTCTACTACTAAGTTTTAATTTAAAGTTATTTTGTTCCAGTCTTGTTTGTTCTTCACTTTATCGCTCGCCAGACGTGGCGAAGCTGCCAATTTGTATCGAATTTTGCATCATTTTGTATCATGATCAAGCTAAACTCTCCTGATTTGAATTGAGTTTACCTCCCAAAAATGGGGCAGAATTTGTTCATATTTATTTTTTAAAGACGAAGGGAAAGTTTACAACAGAGCTGTGTTGAAAGTGAATGTAGTGCCATGCAAAGTTAATGAGAACTATGGTATATGCCGTATAATAAAAATAACTATTAAACTACTTGCCTGCTCAATTCGACTGACTGTATAGTGTAGCAATTATAATGGGTTTGGAAAGTTGGATTTATGCAAACAGTTGGATTTATGCTAAGTACTACTTAGCGTTTCTGTAAGTGAAGTATTTATTGTTATAGTAAACAGGTTAATACTTCAAAACCAAGATAAAAGAAGTGTGTTGAACAATGTGCTAAGATTTGCTCCTACCTTGAAATTTTTGTTCAACAATAGCTAATGATTATATTATTAATATGCATGAAAAATTAAACATATTATTGTCTCATCTCACCAAATCCATATTTGGTATGATTCCAGGTGATCCACAAATTTACATCAGATGCATTGGTTATAATGAAGTTGAATGTAGAGGAAGCAAAAATAGATAGCAAAGAAATTCTTTGTGTCTTATGAAGAATTAGTACAAATCAATAAAAAGAATTCTTTAAACAAATTGTTATCAAATTTAAATTGCTCATGGTCAAGCAACCTAGTGAAAGAAGCAAAGTCTGTCTTCAACATGTGACCTTTCCAATTATGTTAAGTTTCTTTGTACAAAATAATTTTTTCAAGAAACTTGATTTGTAAGTCTTTCATTAATATGTTTTTACCAAGAGATAAAAGAAACAAATTCAAAGGCTTGCTGGAAAATACAAAGATTTATCAAGTTGCTTATCATTTAATTCCCAATTGTTAGTTTATACATATAAATAATTAGTATTGGTAGCTGTAAGTTGTTCAAGCAAAACAGAAGAGTAGTAGTGCTTGAAGGAGTTAGCATTTTCGAAAAATTATGTCTTGTTCTTGACATACATTACACAATTCCAAAAGACTGTAAGTAATACACAATAATATCTATAAAACTTGATAAATTTCTTCGCCTACCTTGTCAATTAGCTATTTTGCCTTCATGCAGCAATAGACAGAGTGTTTTTGTCAGAGAAACCAATGCACTTTAGTTTCCAAGTTTGTAATTTCAATGGAAAATTAATGTAGTTCTGTTCAGAATGATAAATCGAAAAATCGTCTTTAAAACACGTTTTCCATCAAATACAATAGTAAAAAACAATTCTTAACTGTTTATTACTATTTTACTGTCCTTAACCATCACAAAAAATGTTGAAAAGTCAAGAAATTGAAGAAAACACTAAAATTTTATTACAGTGTACTTTCCATTTCTTTAATTAGCCTATAATTTAAAAACTACACGGTAGAATTTTTTTAAACTTGGCCAGAAGATAGATAATTATATTGTCTAAAATATATCCAAAATCTGGAGGTGGCACAAAAAAATAAGTTGTAGAAAATCATCGACAAAGTCGGATGACACGGATGCGCGTAATATAATCTTATATAATTAACTTCCTATATCCATGTAATTTTTCAAACAAAGGCCTATAAAAAATAAACTACACAGTAGAATTTTTTTAAACTTGACCAGAATATAGATAATTATATTGTCTAAAATATAACCAAAATCTGGAGATGGCACAAAAAAATAAATGACAGAAAATCATCGACATAGTTAGATGACACGAATGCGCGTAATATGATCTTTTATAATTACGTTCAGAAATTCAAGTCATTGCTAAACAAAGGCCTGTAAATAAAAAACTACACGGTAGATTTTTTTAAACTTGGCCATATTGTAGATATTCTTATTGTCTATAACATATCCAAAATCTGGAGGTGGCACAAAAAAATAAAAGGAATAATATTCCTTGAGAATGTACTCTGGTATTAACCGTGAAGTTGGCACCACATTCGACAAACAGCTCTATAGCTAAAAAACTACACGGTAGAATTTTTTTAAATTTTGCTATATTGTAGATATTCTTATTGTCTATAACATATCCAAAATCTGGAGGTGGCACAAAAAAATAAATTGTAGAAAATCATCGTCAAAGTCGGATGACACGAATTCGCGTAATATAATCTTGCATATTTAAGTTAAGAACCGGAAATACTCGTAGTACTCGTAGCATTGAGTTCTATAATAACTAGAGTGGCTATCTCAAGCGCGGCCTTAGATATCTGATGATGCCAAAAAAATGGCGGATTTCGTCCTTTGCCGCTGAGATTTACCGAAATTGACCGCTTTTCCGAAAATTTCACAATTTCCCACTCCCTCCTGAGGAAAGAGTGAGGAAAATGTATGTGTGTATTTGGGATTCGGCAAGCAATTTTTTGATGAAAATCAAGGTAAAAACCTTAAATTCATAACAGCGAGTCGACTGTGGTTGTCAGTTATCTGCTCCTACGAGGATTCATTTATAACTATCGACGAAAGACCTATATGTCGGCTACACATGTATGAATGCAGATGTGCGTCGTTTTCTTACCAGCGTCAAACTTGTTTGATCGATTAAACTTTTTCGTCTGTACAAAAAGGTATATCGTAGTTCATCTCCACGGTTCTCGAGAGAGAAGTCAGCTTATTTGTTATCATTGCTATTTTGCTTCTTTTCATGCAATGGGCAATGGCTTTTTTCGCCACAATT